TCTTGTCAACAAATTTTAAAACTAAAATAGACATTAGAGAGAATGTATTCCAGTCTACAGATGGTAAAGGTGAAACTAAGAGAAATTACGCTGAAGAATGAATAGTTACTGTTCAATACAGTCAAATACGTACTAGACTTTTAATTTCACATGCCAGCTTATAAAAACAGAGATACAGCCTTTAACTTCCAGGTGCTTGCAGTAGTCTCAGACAAAAGAAGTATACATTTTTTTAAATGCACAGGGCACAAAGACCAGAATGAAAACATGAACACAGTCCAGCAATTGTGCTCCTCGGTATCTGTACAAAGGAGTCGAAAACTATGTTCATACAAAAATCTGCACACAGATGTTAACAGAAGCATTATTCACAACCGCCAACTGATGAACCTATAATGGCACCTCATTATCACCCAAAGTACACAGTTCACATTAGGGTTCACTCATGGGGTTTTGTTTTGTTTCATTTTAATCAAAGTATAGTTGATTTACAATGTTACATTAGTTTCAGTGTACAGCATAGTGATTCAGTTATACATATATATATTCTTTTTCATATTTTTCCATTATATGATCTTATTTACAAAACAGAAAGAGACTCGTAGAAAACAAACTTATGGTTACCAAAGGAGAAAGCAGGGAAGGGATAAACTAGGAGTCTGGGATTAGCAGATAATAATTTGGGGTTTTAATAAATATATAGCAACATGTGTCACTATTAAGTATCATACAGAATAGTTTTACCTTAAAAATTCTCTGTGCTCTGCTTACTCATCCCTCCCTCAAACCTAACCCTTGACATACACTGATCTTTTTACTGCCTCCATAGTTTTGGCCTTTTCTACAATGTCATATAGTTGCAATCAAACAGTATGTGGTCTCTTTAGGTTGACTTCTTACGCTCAGTAACATGCATTTACAGCTCCTCCCTATCTTTGCATAATCAATAGCCTATTTCTTTTTAGCAATGAATAATATTCCACTGTCCAGATGTACCACAGTTTGCTCGTTTACCTACTGAAGAACATCTTGGTTGCTTCCAAGTTTTGGCAATTAACAATAAAGCTGCCATAAACATCTGCGTGCATGTTTCTGTGTGGACATAAGTCTTCAACTCAATTGGGTCCACTTTCACTTCTTATTCTGTATTATTCCATATTGCTTCAATTTTTCAGAAGTTATTTGTTATCACTAATAAAAGAAAATTATTTTTTTAAACTCTGATTCTGATATCCATTCCTGGTTATGCTCTACTGCATAAGCTTTGGGATGCTACCTGATACACCATAAGCAAGTCATTTCAAATCATCAGAGAAAATATATATTATTTATTCACTACCTGGTATTGACAATGGCTAAGAACTTTGTAAAGCTGGAAACTAAACACCAAAATAAATTACAGATGAAACAAAATTTAAATATAAAAAACAGAAAGTAGAAAAAAATTATATAATCTGGTATGAGAAAGGCGTTATTTATATAACAGAAAAAAGAGTAATAGATTTTATATAAAAATTAATATTGTCTATATATCTCCAAAAAGAGCTTAATAATTTCAATACATAAAGAATTCTTGTAAATAAAAAAGGAGGGAAGAACATGAACTAGAAATTTAGAAATGGAAAAATATAATAAGTATGTGAAGAGATGCTAAATCTCATAAAAAATACAAATTTTTAAAAAATATTACTTTTCAACTATTAGATTTTCAAAAATTAAACCGACACATAATTCCCAGTGATGCCAAGCATACAGAGAAGAGCTGCTCACCAACACTGAGGGCAATAATCTAAAAATATACATTAATAAAACTTTTGTGGAGAACAACTTTCATCAAAAATTTTACCCAAGCAATACTTCTAAGACATACCCGAGGAAAAAATAAGTATATACTAGTGTATATAATTCCTGTGAATATTCTATGTAAAGATTATAGAAGTTAGGATACATCCATTCAATGTAATACAGACACTAAAAATGATTATGTAAGGCTACAAGTACTGTATGTAAAAAATTATCACAGGTAACTACAGCAGGTTATGAAACAACCATTTTTGGGGTATAAAAATCAATATATACAAGTGTCTAAATGTTTGTATATAGACAGAAAAAGGACAAATCTTGAAGGATATGCATTCCTAATTGAGGAAGGCAGACTGATATTCAGTTTATTTTTTTAGTGGAGGTACTGGGGAGTGAACCCAGGCTCTCACGCATGCTAAGCACATGCTCTACCACTGAGCTACACCCCATGCCCTCTACTTTATAGTTTATACATTTACATACTATTGGAATTTTTCCAGCAAGAATGTATTACTTCAAAAATTAGAGGAAAAAAATGTCATAAAAGAGGTTCCATTAGGGGAAAAATATGACACTAGGAGAAAAATATAATTCAAGTAGATGTCCCTCCCATAGAGCAGACTTTCATACCATAATATGTTCACAAATAATATTAAAAAAGGGAATCACATGACTATAAGGCAGCATTACTACTGTTAGAAATTGCCACCTTTCTTTTTTTTTTAATTGAGGTATAGTTGATTTACAATACTACATAAGTTTCGAGTGTACAACACAGTGATTCACAATTTTTAAAGATTATACTCCATTTAGAGTTATTATAAAGTGCTGGTTATATTTTCCACAGGTATTTCTTAGTCAATTTCATTAGACTCCATCTGCACGTAAGACTAAGGAATAAAATCAAATGCTGAACTTTAAGCAAAGCAGGGTTCAAATTCTTTACCGTCATCACACAATAAAGCCAAGACCAACAGGAATAGCTACACACACACACACACACCCCACTAACTTTTAAAAATATTATTCAAAAAAATCAGACTATGAGAAAAATAAGAGGTAAAGCATCAAATTAAAAAAAATACATATATAGATGAGTACTTAAGCAGCTGCACACTGCCCAGAATGTGACAAATTTAAGAATATTTCAGTTGTACCAATGGAACTTACTAGATAACTATAAAGTCTTTCAGTGTTTGGTCTACTTGGTAATCCATGGTGATATATACCCAAGAAATGAGAGAAAGCATGGCAGTGAAAAAGAATACTGAGTTTAGAATTTTAAGTTAGAAATTATGAGACTTCTGGATACTCTGGGCAAATTATTTAATCTCCCAAAGGTCCTTTTCTGCTCTAGAGGTCTATGATTTTAGTAATCATTAGTTAACTGGAAATTCTGTATTAAAACCATTTTGGGCAGTCTCTCTAGTCCCTCACCTAGGTAAAAATAACCACTCCCTTCTTTCCCCTACTACACACACAGGCACACACACACACACATCTATTATAACTTCCATTTATTTGTTTATCTGTCTTTTCTTCCTGTAAAATTTTGATATTACTAAGGGCAGGAACACAGCTTATTTGTTATATTCTGATACCCAGCACAAGCCTGGCACAAAGTAGCCCTTAACAGGTGGTAAGAGAAGGACAGACTGGAGGTGGGGGCAGGGGCTGAGTACAAGGAGAGGCAGAGGGACAGACAGAAATGAAGCAGGGAAGGAAGAACAGGAGAAATGGAAGGAAAAGAGTGAGTGAGGACAATTCTAATGGGCGTGGGATAGTTCAGGTGAGCTCTGAAAGGTAATAAATGACTGCCTGTCATCTCTAGATATTTTCCTAGCTTCTGTCAAGAGCAGGACCACAATTACTCAGGTCTGCAACATGCTAGTTTAGACAATAGTAATTTACCTTATCATTCAACAAAATTACAGTTGTTAAGACTATTTTAAGAGTCAAAACATCTCTATATGACTACCTTCATTCTGAAGCAGTATGCTCCGAAGTAACTTAAAACCCAGAGGAATATTAAATTATTTTGAGAGGCCCATAATACCTTAGCCTTTGCCTTATACATAAGGTATCCTCAATATTAAAAGGGTGAAAAAGTTATCATATAATTGTATTCTATCAAAATTTAACTTCCTTGATTTTGATAATTGGATGGAGGTTAAGTAAGAGAATATCCATGTTCTTCGGAAATACACACTTTAGCAGTTACGGATAAAGGCGCATGAAGCCTACAACAAACTCTTGAATGATTAAGAAAAATATACAAACGATGTATTAATGAGTACATATATGATATGGAGAAACAGAGAAAAACAGAAAGAAATGAGGCAAAATATTCACAATTGTGAATCTGGATAATGAATATACTATTCTTGCAACTTTTCTATAAATTTGAAATATCAAAATAAAGTATTACTAAAAAAGTTTGAAGCTCACATACACACACACATAGAGCAATAGTTAGATAAAAATGATACAAAAGGATACTCACATAGAATTAAACATTCCCATTAGGGCAGTAAAGCAAAAGCCAATTGCAAACATGGACTTCATTCGAACCTGGAAGGAGACCAACAAATTGTCATTTCACGTGAAAGACAAACCAGCACTAAAGCATACCCCAAAAGTTTTGGTTTCATCTCCTTTTTAAAAAGTGCTCCTTGGCAAAAAGCTATTTATTAGCTAACCCACCCTCTACCTCCAAGGCTTCCTCTCCTTGCTACCTTCCGATGAATAGTATTGAGGTGACCATGTGACCCAATTCCAGCCAGTAAGTTATAAATACAAGTACTAGCCAGGACTTTTTAAAGGGACAAACTTGAATATATATATTTTTTAATTACATAAATTTAAACTGGCAGACATTTAAACATCTGTGATTAGAATTTTTTTTTTAACATTTTAAAGGGACAAACTTGGTCAGCAACCCTTTAGGCTTTCTGCCTGGCCTTCTTGCCCAGAATGAAGAACACGATGCCTGACAGAAAAGCATCATCCAACAGCCAAACGACTGTAAAGTAAGGCAGGCCAGCCTGACTCCTTAATGACGTTACTGTGATGCCACCCAGCCCACGAGGACTACCGAGCCCTGCATTTCTCGAGCAAGTAGCAAAACCATTACATGTTTAAAATATTGTTTGTTAAATATCCTGTTACTTGCAGCTAACTTTTTTCTTAATTACATATACCATAAAAATATAAACAAACCAAAGATCATAAAGATATAAGATTAACAGTTTATCAGCAATTTTTATCCCTCGTTTCTGTAGTTTTCAAATCTGGTCTCATGAACTTATAGTGATTGAGAAAACAGAATAGCTTTTTTAAAAAAATGCACTTCTAAATTATAATCTCTCTTAATAAGCGTTTCGAGAAATAGAAGATAAAATAATACAGCAAAGGTCTCTCGGTAAGCAAAAGACAACTGTTGCACAGTTCATGTGTCCTATGTTAAATATCCAGAAATTAAGTAGAAAAATTAGTCAAGCCACATAATTAGCCTACCTATGCCTCAGAAAAATAGGCTTGAACAAACACTCCTCTTTATAAATAATGAGTAAATGGCTAATAAAATCACTTACACTTTATGATGTGCCTGGCCCTCAGAACAAAAGACTTCTTAAAGAGCAAAGGCCACAATGTAGGCCACCTATAATGCCAGGTCACCATAAAACCAGACTCAGCAATAGCGTGAGGAAGAAAAAGAAAATAAGCTATTTCATTTGAAAACATAAAAGGAAGCTAATAAAAACTGTGTTAAAAGGGACAAATTATGACTTCTGAGACAGCCTAAAAAAGCTATTTATATTACCAACATGAAGCTTCAGCCCAGAAGCATATTTTCATGTCTGCTTGGCCCAGGAACACTCATGACACTATAAACGGCCTGAATAAACTATAAATTTCTGAAAAGGTAAGTGCAGTGTACTTGATGCAAATCAGGGTCTTTTGCTGAAAAACACATGGTTTATGATGAAGTTATATTTAGGACTCTTACCATTGATAGATCTCTGTTGTTATTCTTCAGTTTCTCTTCTTGCCTCTCTGCAAAGAATCAATGAACCGGTTAATACACATAGCGCTGAGCACAAAGCAGATGTTAAACTGTCACTGACTGTGACTACAGAAGCCCTCTGGCCTCGGTATCACTCAACAAGATTAGCTGCAAACCTGGAATACTGTATGCTTTGTACTAACAGAAAATTCAAATGCTGCAGAGCACCAAAAGATTTCATTTTAAATTAAAAATCTTTAAAGTTTAATTTTTTAAAAATTACCTCTGGTACTAAGTGCCTTAAGTCTATACATTAAGATACACTCTTATATTACATCAATGGGAAGTGTAACCATAATGACTGTACTTAGGTTTCAAATATTAATTACCCATCTCTCAAGTTTTTCCTCTCTTTCAGTTTCTTTGAGAGCAGAGTCTAAAAGTTAAAAGCCAATTAAGATGAACTTAAGATTCAAGTTCTTTCCTATTACAGTCTACTCAATTGAAAAATAAGCATAATTTCATAGTTCAGGCACTGAGAAAGCTAGGAAACTTGACAAATATCGCAAGGGAATTGTTATATACACCGAAGTCTCAGCTGTACATTAATGCCCTTAGTTTACTGTACTCCATCAACATAAGGGACTTCATTGTTGCACCTATGAAGAAACTGAAGCCCAGCAAAGGAGAAGTGACTTCTCAGAGACCACCCAAGTCTTGTATGGCAAAGCCAGGACTAGAACCCAAGTTTCCTGGCTCCTAACCCAATGATCTCCATACATACTAGGCTACTGCTTTCTCTGATCATGTATTTTTATCACCAGGATCAATTTATTCAAGAAATACTTACTGATTACATATATACATATGCCAAGCACTTTTCTGAGCACTAGGGATAAATGAATGAATAAGACATACACAAATCCCCACTCTCATAGAAGATAATGAAATAATATAATACCGTCTAAAACAAAAAAAAATCCCACTGGAATACAATAAACTGGTGTGAGGGCTGACAAATTCAGGCAGGTAAAGGAAAGGGAGGAACAAGAACAGGCCCACAGGAACTGCGGACTGGACTGCAGTTTCCAAACAGTACATGGTGGGATGAACATGCGACCCCTTGTCCTGAACGGTTCCTGTCCAGTGCGTTCTCCCTGGGAGGAAAGGATACAGGCAGGAGAGAGTGGGGATGGTGAAGACATATGGAAGAAAATGAACAAAATGGGAGTTTGAGGATTAGGGTAAGAGATAACTAGAAGGTAAACAGACATAAAACTAGAAGTTCTGGGTTAAAGGACTACCACCGAGACATCAAAAGAAAAGGTACAGAAAAGCATCTGTTAGAGACTTTGGCACATCCTTGACTCCCTAATCTCTCATCCAAACACCAAGTCTTATTAATTATACCTCATAAACACTTGTGAAATCAGCCTCCCCTCCTCCTTACTACCACTTCCTTAGTTAGGATTTCTAACATCTCTTACCTGTCAGATGTACCAACAAGGCAAAACTGAACAAAATCAGGATGCTCCCCAGCTTAAAATCATTCCACGCTTTTTCATCCTTACAAGATCATGTTCCGGTATCACTTACAAGTCCTGTATCCAGCCTCTGCTTACTTCTGCAACCACATTTCCAACCACTCTCATGAAATTTTATGTTCTTACAACACCGAACAACTTCAAGTTCCTCTATCCAGGATGCTTTTCTCTTGAGTCAGTGTTTTTATTCACAAAGTCTCTTCTACCTTGGGTGACCAACTGTCCCAGTCTTCCCCAGACTGTTCCAGTTCTAGCTCTGAAAATCTCACATCCCAAGAAACTGCTCGGTCCTAGACCAACTGGGATGGGTGGTTACCCTACTTCTACCTAGAATGTTTTATCCCACCCCTACCCGGCCCTTTCCTGGCTAGCCTGTATTCAACTTTTAAGCCTCAGCTTTTGTGTCACTTCCTTTTGAAAATCTTGATTCCTTTGGCAATACTGTTCTAAAGAACTTTCTACGATTACGAAAATATCCTATAACTATGCCATCAATACAGTAACCACTAGCTACATACAGATACTGAGCAATGAAATGTGACCAAGATGACTGAGGAACTAAATTTTTGACTTCATTTAATTTTAATTTAAATTTTAAAACAGTCAAACGTAGCTAGAGGCTGCTGTATTGGACAATGCAGTCTTAGACACTGGCTTAGAAGTCCTCTATTTTGCCTCCTTCATCTTTGTATCCTCAGTAACTGGCATGTAGTTAGTTGCTCACTATTGAGGTATATGCTCAATATTGCTTCATGAATGAATTGGCAATATAATAAAAGCTGATCTGAAGATAATAGTTCACCAAAAGTCCCTTTCCAGGGACAGCAGTCCTTCACGATAAAGCTGGTGGCCTGAAGAGGCACATAAAGCCCAAAAAGGCTGAAAGTAAACTAAAGTGACATAGTTTTTCTGAAATTCTATTCTACTCCCCCCGCCTTTGGAAAGATTGATTGATTGATTGATTGATTGAAGTTCTGTCAGTTACAATGTGTCAATTTCTGGGGTGGAGCACAATGTCCAGGTCATGCATACACATACATATATTCATTTTCATATTCTTCCTCATCAAAGGCTATTACAAGATATTGAATATAGTTCCCTGTGCTATATAGAAGATATCTGTTTTGTATCTATTTTTATATATAGTGGGTAACAACAACAACAACAAAAAAAACAAAGTTTAATACCCAAACAGAAACTGTAACCATAAGTAGCATCCAGGTAGACCATGTATGCATGGCTTACCCAGAATAGAGCAGTACAGGTTTACGACACATTCCAACACTACTGTACATGGTTTCTGAAGATTTTTCAATTCACATTGCTATTAAATGCCTATCATATATAAAAAGTAGGTTTCGCTGGTTTCAAGTAATCCAGAAATAAGTTAATGTTTACTTGGTTTTGGAGGGGGTGAAAGAAACACAGTCAAGTTTCTCAGATGTCTGCCTTCACTTCTGACTTGCTCTCATAGACTCACAGCACAGCACCATCAGCTACACAAGATCTAGGTAGATGGTACAGCAGAAGTGAAGACTAATTCTTAGCACAAGTATTTTACTCATGGATGAATAACAGGTGACTGTGTCTGAGGTGACCTGAAAAGTGTACGTTATATACTCCAGTGGTTTCATTTTTCAATAGGGACCATTTCCAGTAAAATAGAACAAAAAAGATATTATATAAAAAGGTAAAGTTGGTTTAAAAAAAAAACCCTCTGTAAAAAAAAAAGGAGGGGAGCAAAAAGTAGAATAGAATAAAGGAACAACAAACCAGACAGGTATATTTAACAGGGAAATATTACACACTTGATCCTTGAACAACATAGGCTTGAACTGCACGGGTCCACTCACACGTAGACATTTTTCAAAAGTAAGTAATACTACAGTACCACACAGTCTGTGGTTGGCTGAATCCAGGGATGCAGAGGAACACCGGATATGACGGTTGACTGTAAATTACACACAGATTAACCCCAAAGTTGTTCAAGGGTCAACGACACAAGCAAAGTTTTGTCTGAAATGAACCTGATCTTTTTAATTGGTAAGAAATGCTTAGATGCCTCAACTGGCATAAACACTATAAAGAACTTATTAGAAGCCCTAGACAATGTAAGGGTCTTCAGAAATCCAAAAACGGCCATTTGGGAAAGAGCAAATCTAATCTAATGGAAGTGTTACCAATAGGGAAGCAATTTAGGTACTCCCACCAGTTATGAACAATAAACTTGTAAAGGTCTCCATAAAGCCAGTTAGCTTCATATGCTCCCTTCCTCCCCACAAATGAATGATGCCTTTAAATAACTGCTAGAAGAAATGCATAATCTAAAGTTTCTCCATTTTCATTTTCCTTCCTTCCTAGCTTAGTTAACTGCATCTCAGATGCTTCTATTTGCTCACTCTCGCTACTCATGCTTTTTACCTTCTTTTTTTTTTTTTTAGGTCTTAAAAAATTATTACACTTTTTATCTCTCTTCCATTATGACCACCAAACCCTGACTCTAATAATTGCTAGACAAAGATTTGTCTTAATTATTCATTATCATTATTTTAAAATATAAGGTTCAAGTTTTGCAAGGATATCCTGTTAGACACAATGAGAAATGAAATGTTTGAGTTCTTAAAAATATTTAAAACATCCTCTTAGAGTTTCTGTCTGTCATATTCCAATCAAATCTACTTTCCTTTAAGCCTCAATGATTTAAATTAATTTTTAAATGTCATTTCATATCCAATTTTGCTTTTAATCACCAGCAATACCAAAAAAAACACAAAACAAAACACAAAACCAACCATTGTCCCTAAATATAAAGTTTTTATGTTACATTATGGGTTAAATAAGCTTACGAAGACTGATTTGTCAATACAACCACCATGTAATACATGGTTAAATGAGAATAATCCAATTTCTAATAAACTGCATTGAAAAAAGTATCTTTTTTTTAAAGAAGCTGATTTTTCCCTTAACAAGAAACTTTGTTTCCCCAGGTGAATAATTTCTGGGAGAGCTACATTAATAGCTGAAATAAGTGCCAACCATTTATTTTGAAATGATGACTTACACTGTTTATTAGCAAGAACTGAATATTTGAGCATAATGCTTCATGTAATTAGAAGAATAGTTTTGACCGAGATGATGCAATAAATGCTAGCTATTCCACTGCTTGAAATGCTTAACTTCCAGTACCCCAAATAGTTGAATTCATTGAAATAAGTATAAGTGGCTGGCTCTCTCTATTGCTCTGTTAGCCCTTAACTGTTAGTGGTTAACTAGTATAAGTCTTCTCAAAAGGTTGTCTCTTGGTCCCAAAAAGGTAGGGAAGTCATTGTCTCAGTCTAATGTTATGTCCATCTTGGTAGTGTGTTACTTGAAAGTATAGCTAGTGAACTTTTCTCCTAAGGTTCACTCAACATCTCCTAAGAGACAACTCAACATCTAGAAGCTCAAGATTCCCAAGATGCGTGTGCTTCCCAATCCATCTTTCAACTGTTAGTTTGACTCAGGAGGGTGAAAATGTGTGTCTAAAACCTTCTACACCTTCCTTGAAGATCTAGAATTTAAAGGTGCCTAGTGCTGGAAATAAACAGCATACATCATTCAGTGTACACTTGTCCTGGGTGAACTATTTTTTTCTATACACCATCCAGAACCTCAGGATTTAATACAGAGGAGAACCATAACTTAGTTCCTCCATGTGGAAGGAATTTTATGCACTCTCTTACTACTAAACTTTTGGAATACAACCTCTATGAAATTTGAGGAAATTCCACAGAGAGAAGAAACTGGGAGTATGAAGAAGACACATTTATATTCTAGAATGATTCACTATTTCAGATCACAGACAAAGGGAAAAATTTAAATTCTAAAAGGGAATACTCAATTAAAAAGAGGCTACATTTTCTTGTAGCTATTGGAATAAACTAGTAGCAATGATGACATCCACTCTGACCACACAGTGAACAAACCCCAAGCCAATCTATTACACATTTTTATTTGACAGCATTAGGCTATGTACAACAAAATAATATAATTTAACTAAGAAAGGAACATGTCATCATTTACCTTAGTCAATAACCAGTGTTTGTTCTGTCAAAGAATATAAATCAAAGTACTCAGGGGGCAACTGGGTAGTCTGATCCAACCAGTGGTCTGGGAGATGGAGAACATTTTCAAACAAGGAAGAGATGATCAAATTAGCAGATATTTCTCTATACATTAAAAGAATAATGTATTCCATGGCAGTTCTATATTCTGAGTTGTCTTGAATGGAAGACTAATTATTAATAACACGCTTTCAAAATTTCACGTAGATTGGGAGAAGTAAAATTTAAATGAAATGTCTGATACAGCCTTCTTTTATGGAAAATCCAAATAGCATAGACAAAAGGCCTAGAATGAATATATAAATCCAGGGCCCCAAATAAATTAAATTTCAAAAATGTCCTCCCATCTTTCCAAGTCACTAAGAAAGGAGATACACACCCATTCAGTGAAGCTTCAGAAAGCCTGCCCTCCCTTCCCTGGCCACTTCTTGGGGATATCTGCCTCTCACCATGGTCTTTGCTGAGGTTCAACCTTATGAAAATTCCTAACACCCACTGCCCTGCCACTACTGTCCCAAAAGGTAGCCAATCCATAGGCTTTCCCATGACCTGTGGTGTGAAAAGATGAGCTGAGCTCACTGGAATTCCTTCTTTCAGGAATTTAGACCAGGAAACCTTGGGAAAGCAAGTCATTTAACTGTGGGAGCAGAAACAGACAAATTATAATGTAGCACTGCCTCTCAAACTTCAGTTTATTTAAGAATTACCTAGGCAGCTTATTTAAAAAGTAGGCAGTGGGATCCCACGCCCAGAGATTCTGATTCCGTAAAGTCTGGGAGTAAAACTCAAAACCCTTCACTTGTGACAAGCATCTCAAGCAATACTGACATCGGCGGCCCAGAGAGCACATCATGAGTAATACGGATGTAGAAAGGACCGCAGGACACAAGCCAAAGTTAGGTGCGACGAAGCCCAAGTGGAGAATCTGAGCAAAGGGAAAGTAAGGTTGCATAGTGACAAAACTGTAGATAAGGCCAATCTACAGAAATACATTTAATTGGTCTTATAAAGTTGTTGGTGATGAACAGCAAATCTGACAGCGGCCAGTTCAAAGCGGGAGGCAGGGAGTGGGGAACCATCATTTCAGACACAGTGTCAACAAGATTAAAAAAAATCAATTATTTATGAGAATCACTGCTTTTCTAGAGGCTGAGAACTCTAGAAAGTTTCCATAATTTCTCGTCAAAGGAGTATTGTGTGATGTTGTTGGTAATGTTCTCAAAAGCATTCCATAGTAGTACTACAATAAATTGTATCTGGCTGAGCTTTTCATGAGAGGCCTAACAGGGTAAATGTCAAGGCGAAAACAGAGTAGAAGCAACTTTATGAAATCCAACTTAACCCAAGTTTAGGTTTACAGATTTCTGATAGTCTGGCTTAATTTAAGAGTAAAATTTCTAAATCTATAGGATAGGTAGGATGTTTGTCCTTCAAACAACTCCTAATAAATATTACGTCTTGTAACTCCTGATAAGATTGCTTTTTCCTGATAAGATTTTGATAAGCAACTCTTCATAAATATTATTTCTTTACCTTCTGATGACATTCTGCTGAGCACACAATTTAAGGTTGCAATCCATGTTAAGATAATTTGAGTTTAGATACTTTGTGTTGTCAACTTAAGGGCAGAGGGTAATGTCTCCTCCATGTTTGTATCTTCCCTATCCTTTACAGCAAAGCCACTTGAAAGAACTGTCCATGTTCCATGTCTTCACTTCCTCACCAAGCATTATCTTCCTAATCTATACAATCTGGCTTCTGTCCCCCATTATGCCACTGAAATCCTTCTTGCTAAATCACCAGTTATCTTCGCTTTGCCTTTGAGATACTTAACACACACCTTCCAACCTTTCCTGCCCCGAGAGTCTCCCCTCAACGTCTGTAACACAATTCCTTTCCAACTTCTCTGGCAATATATTTGCAGAGCTCCACTTCTTCTCGGACCCTTTAAATTTCTATGTTTCCTCAAGACTCTCCAACTCAGCCCTTTACTTGTCTTACTCTGTATCGTCTCCCTGTGTGATCTCATTTACCTCGTAGACTCAATTACTATTTATAAGCATATGACTCTAAAATCTATTCGGAGCCTTTATCTCTCTGCCAGCCCCAAACCATACATCCAACAAAAACTTTCCACCCTATGTCATCCAGGCACTACAAATCCAACATGCTCAAACCTGAAATCATCCTCTCTTTTCTTCCCCAGCCTAATCTGTTACTCCTCCAATACTCCCTCTCCTAATGAGAAATCTGGGTTTCTTGCCAGACTCATGCCTCTCTCCGTACCCTACGTCTAAAATGTCAAGTCCTGTTACATCTACCCCCTCTATATCTACTGAATCTGTACCACCTCTCCATTCCCACTGCCAACACCTAAATTCAGGTTCCTGCCATTTTTATGTCTGGGATACTTAAAAAGCTTCATAACTTCCCTACCTCCAAAATGATCCCCACTCTGATTTATCCTCCAAACTACTGCCAGAGTTGTTCTCCTCAAAATCTGACTTCAAACCTCTGTCTGAATCCCTGAATGGTAATGGGAAGCCTTCTGGATACAAGTTAATCTCTTTACCTTGGTTTATTTAATAGGGACCTTTATGAACTAGGCCCTACTTACTTCTCTAGTCTTGTCTGCCTGGACTTTACACATACCTTCTTTCATTTGTTAAACTAAACTATAGTTCCAGACACACACCTTGCTATTTGATCCTCCTCTGCTTTTACATATGCCTATCCTTCTGCCTAGAATAATTAAGGCTTAAAAATGTGGATTCAAAAGCTATAAATGAGCAGGTTCAAATCCCCTCTTTACCACTGACTTAATTCCATCATACCACTGGATGTACAATTCTGAAATCATTCATGACACTGAATGACCCAGAGCAAGTTATTTAACTTAAACCTCAACTTTCTCATCTCTAAAAATGAGGTAACACCAGTCACTACTACATACAATTAAGAGAATTTAAAAATTTGTAAAGTGTTAACCTGTGTGTTGCAGGCGGTAAGTACTCAATAAATACCGACCAGAATTTTATTTACTTACATGTTTATTTCGCTAATTCACACTAAAGCTCCAAGATTCAGCTAAAGCACTCTCTTAAAGAAAAATCTGACCCCAAGGTTGGTTTGACTACTCTTTCTCTTTACTTTTATAAACTGAGAATGTATCTCTACAAAAGTATTTACCGCACTGCACTGATCTGGTTTCCCTCTCTGGACTTCTTAAAAGACAGAATTTTCTTCTACTTTGTTTCTCCAGTGCCTACCGGAGTGACTAACACACAGATTAGATGCATAGTAGCATCTTGCCGTGGAACTAAATGAGTAGGCCATTTAGAAGACATGATACTGCTACACTATATTGAACAGCTTTAACCAGAACAGGACACTGCTACAGTCCAGCCTGGTAGAGTCTCTCCTGGGATTTAATAGAAGTCACCTAGTTTCTGAACCAAATACACAATTTTACAATTTTTTTCCTGATTTCAGAATCAGAAAGCATCATAAGGTATAAATGCAAATATTCCAATCATTTATAAATTGTCTTTTTGGAACAGAATTACAACCTGTAATTAAATTCTAAATTACACCGAAAAAAAACAAAGACATTCACACCAGGTAAAGTTACTCAGCAGAAAATTTCCTACGCCCTAGTGGATTTCCATCACCAGTCAGTTCTCAGTAAGGAAACCATGGCAACAATAAACACAAGTAACTCAGACTTAACTGGAAATAATCATCTCAGATAAGAAGAACAATGCGCTTTACAAACTATGCCAAAAACTCTCAGCCAAGTTCAAAAGCCATGACTGTCAACATCATTCTACTAAAACTGAAATTTCAAAGCTAAGGGCAAAAGGAACAACTGCTTGAACTTGTCCTACAAAACGGTGAAGAGAATCGAGTAAGATGACGTGTGCAAGTGCTCTGTAAACCATTAACTATACAAACACGAGTCAGCACTATTAAAAACTTCACTGTGTTTTCATCATCTAAGAACTCATTTTTCCCCAAGAAAACCTGAATTTTCCGTATACCAGTAACTCATCTTACCTATTTTCTTTTTTTGCTGTCGACCAGCTGACTCTGTTATTGTTTCCTTCTTCTTTTCCACTGTAAACAACATAGGAACACAGTTAAAATTAATTATGCTTTACACTAGAAAACAAAGGATGCTTTATCACAGCTAAACCAACAAAACAAACTTATAAGAAAGCTACACACTGGCTTTGATCATGGAGATGGTTAAGTTCACTGGTCTTGTTCCCACACCTGCTGACAGTAAAGGGAGACACAATATTCTAAGTGTAAAACAGTAATATCATAGGCATCATTAATCAAATACCCATTTTGTCAACACAAAGTCATAATAAAAGTTGAGATGATTTTCAGACCATTACCTGAGGGTGATTGCCTCAGGGAGAGTCTAAGCACAATTTCAGAATTCTGTTCTCTCAGATGAATTAACTGTAGTTCCATTCTCACACTCACTAAAGAAGGTGAGAATTCATTCAGTTATTGGCTGCCAAAGTAACTGGCACCGTTCTGGGTAGATAAAAAGATAAACATGATCCTTGCCCTCTAAAAAGAAATCTAGTGAGGGCAGATAATCAAATAACAATTATCATATAGAAAGCTGGCACGACAGCCACATGCAGAGTAGGAAGACCTGGGGAGCCAAAAAAGCTACAACCGGCTTTTTCTGATGCTTTTGAATTAATATGATGATACGGTAACAGTAAGCTTTTGAAGCCAAATAGCGTAACATGTTTCATTTTATATTTACTATCTTTATTCACCTATGAATGGACGAGCAATAAATACATCAAAAATTACCTTCATTTATGTTACCTGCTCTAATATTATCTTAGGACACTTCCTTTACTCGCCAGTAGTACAGTACACGTATTATTTCTAGAAGTTGCATTAGAGAGAACTGGCAGGTAGGAATCTTTCCCTTAGCACATTAAGTATGCTGCCTGAATTCTAAAAGCTTAATTGGTGTTAGTCCTTTATCAAAGAGATGGAAAATTCAATTTAATCTCACTATTACAAATGAAATGGTGAAGTTCTCACTAAAATAAAACATGAATATATACATTGGGTGTCTAAGTACCAAGTACTGTTCCAGGTAGATAAAAAGATTAAATATACACAGGGGGAGAAAGAGAGAAATTTAGAATGAACTATTAGTATGAGATCATAAAAGGAAATTAAGTCAAACTCTACAAGATGTTATAGAAACAACATTTCAAAAGACAGAATGGACAGAAAAGTTGATGCTTTACTCTTTATCATTATTTTTTTTCTTTATCATTATTATTGACCAAAGAAACAAAAATTATTTCTTTCCCACCCCAGAAGGACTATAACACAACTACTTGCCATTTAACCATGATTGCATAAAAAACAAGGGCAAAAAGAAAAGGAAAAAAAAAAAAAGAAAGCTAGAAAATAGAAACATAAGATGATACTATGAACATTAACCTGGTCTTCCAGCACATTGGATTGAGACCAGATCAATCTTTTCCAGGGATAATAAAAAATAATCTAATTTTTTCAACCTCATAAGGTTGCAAAGAAACTCTTTTTCTTAATATTTATTCACCAGAACCTCACCCCATAACAAGAAGTGAAGATGTCAGAATTGACAAAAATAAAAGATGTCATCTATAAAACATTTTTGCCCATGACCTGGTATTGCTACATTCTGAATTCCATAGCTGTCAAACAGTTTATAATTCACTCTAGAAGTTTTACCCCATTTCACTGTAAGCAAAAGAAATATCTCATACTTCATAATAATTTGTACTTAATAAATGCTCTCAAATTATAAGAATCCAATTACATATAGGACTTTAATCTTTCTCATTTACTGAAGTGCTCTTTCACTAGTCTAAGTTATAAAAGTAACACAATGAAAGAAGACTTACTGATATTTACAGCACACTCATAAGTTTACAGACCACCTGAATCAAACAAATCGATACCTTCAAGAAAGCATCTTAAGTCAAAGCCCCACTACGGTAGGACAACTTTTTAAATAATACCAGTATTGGAGGGGGAAGGTATAGCTCAGTGGTAGAGTGCGTGCTTAGCATGCACGAGGTCCTGGGTTCAATTCCTACTACTCTCATTAAAAATAAAGAAAGAAACCTAATTACCTCCCCCCCCCAAAAAATGCTAAATAAATAAATAAAACCAGTATTCTTCAAATAATGCCTATGATCAGATCTGCACAAGAAAAGAAATCTACATCTAATTCTGATTCAAATCTATTTGTATTTCTTTATATTCCTCAAAACCCTACAAATTTCTCTTGCCTAGATCCTGACCAAATTTTGAACAGAGAATGTCAGAAGGGGTTATGTGTTTGCAATTAAGACATCTGTTCATACACACACACACACACACACACACACACACAAAATAGACACCTGTTCAGAGTGGGAATTAACCTTATTTCTTCCTGTTAAATATCCCCCATGCTAAATATAACAGCTGTCCATTTAATTACAGATATCTAGAAGACAGATATTTATAGTATCTATGCCCCTCCATTCTGTATTGCACTCATCATGGTAAACTCTACACAGAGCAAGCAATCACATGTGTCAACTGATCATATAAATGAAAAGAACACATGCTCACTGAGTTTTGATTGACTACCTAAAGTGGAGGACCTGAGACCATAAGAAACGCCATGAGACACTCCAATCATCATCAGCCTACCTCATACTTACATTCAAAGCAAGCACTTCAGGCAATTATATTAAAAGTTACATTAGGGAAGCTTTGCCTGGCAAATATATTACTTTGAATTTAGGTGTCAAGTGAAGACGACTTAATTTATTTCTATAATATAGATAACTAGAAACAAGGCAATTACTTATGGACACTAAAGCAGCCCAAAATCTATAGAGGAGATTCATATTCACATAAGAATTTAAGGTATGAGAATATTCATCCAAACAAACTTGAAGCTAAATGTGTTGTGTATTTCAGAAGGCTACTCCATGATATATGTGACATGAAGAAATGTGGATAAGGCTGCCACTGTGTGCTGACTAAACAGTTTATGATCATAGAACAATCCTCACAAAGAATATATATGTGATGCTATAGAGATAACTTACTCTTCCATCTATTCAACACACTTATCTCAAGTATTGAACCTTAGCCAGGCAGTGTGTTAAGTGCTAGAGATACAATGGCCTTTGCCCTCCTAGAAATTACAGTTTAGTTGGGGAAAGAACATTATTTGAATAATAATAATCATATACAGATAAAACTGCAATTAAGACAAGTTCTCTAAGGGGAAGTATATGGATAAATTAATGCCCATGATAGGAAATCTCACCTTGTTGGTGAGACTAAATAAGGCTGTGAGATCTGAAGAATGAGTAGGAGTTTACTGGACAAAATAAGGGAAAATTATTTCAGGTAGAGCAAAAGCAGATACAAAAACTCAGCCCCATAGTAGGAAAAAGCAAGATTAATTCAGAGGATGGAAAAAAAGTCCGAGTGGCTAGAGAAGAGAGAGCTGGGAAAAAATACAACATTGATGTAATCGGAGGGGCGGGAGGGAGGCACCACACCATGCTGGACCTAAAGCAATGGGAAGAAATTGCATGTTTTAAGAAGGGCAAATAACACTATCAGATTTGTGCTTTGAAAAATTACCCCAGGTGTTACTGTAAGGGGCTGCACGTAGACCAGTGAGGATGCTATTTCAGATCAAATGAAATGTGACAGGAGTTTAGACTAGGTGGTGATGGCAGAAGTGAAGAGATGTATAAAGACTGAAAACTCTTCAGGAGAACAGTATCAAAGCTTGACAGTGGACTGCACATACAGGGCAAGAGAAGAAAGTATTCAAATCAACAAATATTTATTAGACATTTATCACATGCTAGTCACTGTTCTAGGTGTGTAGAGTATACACCAGTGAACGATGACGATAAAAAAAAAAAACTCTGTCCTAATGCAGCTTTTATTCTAACAGGTGAATAGGAAAAAAAAACCCAAAAACACAGAACAAGACAAGACAGATGAGGCGCAGAGGTAGAGGAGGTGGGAAGACTGCAGTTTTAAATAGGGTAGTCAAGTTAAGATAAACTGAGGTGAGCTCTGAACAAAGATTTGAAGAAAATATGAGGGTCAGCCAAGCAGGTATCATAGAGAAGAACATTCTAGGTACAGGGAACAGCCATTAGAAAGGTCCCAGCATAGGAGTGAGGCTGATGTGCAGTGAGGAACAGTAAGCAGGTCAGTGTAGGTGGAGCAGAGTGAGAGAGGGAAAGAATATCAGAGCCGTAACAGGGAAAGCTCTGTAGCCACTGGAAAAACTTTGGCTTTTTCTCTGAGTGAAAATGGGACACGATCACAGGGTTATGAGGAAGGACATGATCTGACACACTTTTTTTTGATGCACTTTTAAAAGGAATAATCTGGCAGCTATCTTCAGAAAAGACTACAGGCAAACCTGAACACTTGTTGGAGATTATTACAATTCATGCAAAGGATGATGGTGGCAAGGACTATGGTAGTTATCAGAGGAAGTGATGTAAAGAGGTCAGATTCTGGATATATCTGAAGGGAGCCCATCAGTACTGGATGTGGGCTGTGAGAGAAGAGTCCAAGGTAACACAAGGATTATGTTCTGAACAATTGGAAGGATAGAATTACCACTGGCCAAGATTGTGAAGGCTACAAATGAAGGAGGAGTGGAAGCGAGGATCTAATATTCTATCTGGACAGGTTGGGTTTGAAATGTACATGAGACATTCCAGTGGAATTAACAAATTGATAGTTGGATATATGAATCTTGCATTAAGAAGAGAGGGCTAAGGATGTAAGTTTGCGGGTCACTGGCAAATAGAGCACATAAAATGAGTTCACCAAGGGAGTGAGTAGAGAGGAAAAAAACAAATTTGGGGTCATCCTCAACAACACAAGGTCACAAATAGGAACCAACAAGGAAATTGCAGAAGAATGGCCAGCAAGATGAGAGCAAAATCAAGAGAGTGTGGCATCCTGGAAGCCAAATGAAGAAAGCACAGCAAGATTTCTGGCTTGCACCACTGGAAACGAGGACGTCCCATTCACCAAACAGAAACCCTGGAAGGGGATCACATTTATGAAAACAAAGATAATGGGCTTGGTTTTAAATATGTTCAGGTGCATTATCAACACTGAATAAGTAAAGGAACAGTAAATTGTAATTTAAAAGGCCTGAGTTAGTTTGTAATTCTTTGCTCTGTGACATTAATATGTCATTTAAACTTTTTGAGCCTCACTCTCCTTTTTTATAAAGAGAAAACAATATTTATACAACTGACTACAAATGGTTGCTATGTGGATTAAATGGGATATTGTAAGAAAGAAAACTTCAAACTCTTACAAAGACATAAAGAAAAGTGATAGAACACAAAAAGTCAGAGGACTTTGAAGATGCAAAAGCTAGATTTCATCTTTATGAAGCAGAGAAGGCTGAAAAATCAAACCAATAAGGAACCATTCACATTATACCTCTAGCAGCCTCCTCAGCTGTATCCTATGGAATCTGTTTTATTTCAAGGACAACAGACTCTACTCATACTTAACCTCTTCCTCAAATACACTAGCCATCTCACCCAACTGAAAGCTGGCTTATCTCTGAAGACACTACTTACGTTGATACCAATCCTAATGGTCTGTTGTTCTCCAAACACAGCTTACTCATTATAATTTCCCTATTTTTGCACATAAGCTATTTCCTTTGCCTAGAATTCCTTTCCCCATCTCACTCCCTATCCAAATTCTAACTATCCCTGAAGGACTCAAGGCTATCTGCATCACAAAGGCTTCCATGGCCCCTCACAACTGCATGGGAACTCTTCTTTAGAACCACCATAGCACATAACAATTACTGCGCCTGTCCCTTACAGCCCGGTAGTTTGTATTATACATTTTGCATAAAAGTCTTACATTTCTAAATAGACTTCAAGTCGGATTCATCTTTGTATTCCTATAAAGTTTTTACATCAGTTGGTGTTCCTAAAATATCTACTGTGAACATGCACTCAGTGAGCTTGATGTGTTGAAACTATTTCTAGAGGATGTTGCCATACTCACATTTTTTACTCTGTTTTTCCACTTCTGCCTTCAGTCTCTTGTACTTGTCTGTCCTGTAAACCAGGACCCAGGTTATACCTGAAACATTGAAAGCAGTATGCTAATAGGGAAATGTCTGAAACGGTCACAACAGCCTTTATTAGTGGTCACCGTTGGATAAGAATGGATTTCAACTTTTTCCTGTACATTTATCGGTAGTTAACTTTTTTCAAATGTGAAAACAACTGACTCTTCAACCAAAACTGTGCCATGATACGAAGGTGTCTCCAAACACGCAAGTGAAATCTACCCTAGACCAAAGAAACCTCGGCAATCGATTCCACACGAACTCTCCCGACCCTGGAGTAGAGTAAACCCCTGCCCCCACCCTTAACAAAGGAAGCAAGGCTCGCGACCTCTCCCTTGGTGGCGCGAGGGACCCCGGGCCTAGGAGCGTTCCCCTGGGGGACTGATCAAACGTCAGAAAAGCAGCCGCTCTCACCCTCGGCAAGCAGAGCCGTGCACACGGAGATAAAAACGATAAGCAGCGTGTCCGCGAACATGGTGCTCATCTCGCGCTTCGGTCTCTGCACTCCCACCCGCCAGGGGGGAAGCGCTCGAGAGCCAGGAAAAGTGAAGCGAAAACAACTTTCCTATATTTCACGACCACCAAGTAACACACCGACTCTGACAGACTGGAAGGTGCACTTCCGCTTCCTGGGCGCAGCGCCGGAAGTGCTCGTCCCGGCGCGCCGTCTGGCCCCGAGAATCCAGCGGAAATCGAGTCGCAAGTCTCCGGGGCTGATGGGCTGGCGCTCGGGCCGAATCTCGCGAGAGTTGGAACTGGAACAGCTGAGACCTAGTATCGGCAACGTTGACTTCGTCTTGGGAAGCGTTTGCGCCCGGAGGTGCGGCTGCGCGACTTCTTTTCGGCCAGGATCCACTTGTTTGGACTCGTCGACACTTCTGCCTCAGGCCCACCTCTAAGGCCTAGTAGATAGTTTAGCCTAGGTTTGCGTAAAGTGGGGAGATTGACTTCCGCAAATACTTGCTGAACGCCTGTTTCGATGCCAGGCCACGGATCTGGGACTGGGGACGCGAACATCAGTGAGTCGTGGGCCGCTGGCTTCCAGTAACTCACGTCCTAGCACAGGAGGGAGACTTGTACATGCGGTGTGATTAGGGTTTTAATAGATGTACCACCAGAATGCTGCGATGACCCAGTTGAGGGGGTGGTCAGAGAAAGCTTGTGAAAGGAATTGAAGCAGTGACTTAAAGGAGTCAGTGTTTTTGGAAAAAGCAACGGTCTTTCTAGGCAAAGTGAAAGGCAAATCACGGGTGCTTGAAAATACCTGTTGTGTAATTGAACAGTGAGTGGTGTGTCTACAGAAGGGGTCCTAAACTCAAATGCACACCGTGGTCAGATACAAATAATCTTACACAGGCTGGGCATAAGAAAATGATGGGAGGTGCTACGAGGAATAAGGGAGCACTAACTTTGTCTGATAGGAGCAATTGATAACACACATCCAACCAATGTCCCTCAAATGAGCATCCAGTTTCCAATATCTTCCCACTTTTCAAGAAAATCCAGAAATCCTGACTTTCTGTGATATTTCTAAAGTTCAGTTTATAAATGCTGGTAACTCATTAAAATTTTAAAATGCTATATAGGTTAAAGAAGTTGTCTCAGCAGCTTGATTTCAGCCTCTTCAGCTTTCCCAGACTGATTATGTCTGTGTGAGTGTGTATGTAAATCTGGAAGCTGGCTGAACTGTCTCACCTTGACATGTACTTTCTATCGTTGGTTCTTTTCTCCTAAACTCCAACATAGATTATTTATAGTTTTTTCATAACACTATTTTTGGCCTTTATTAGTTATATGTGCATTTCTTGTCTTCTCTAGAGTCTTAGTGGCAGTGACCCTGTCTCCTTTTAACAGACATTGAGCTTCTAATATGTGTCAGAAACAGTGGTGGGCACTGTAAGCTTCAGACCAGGTGATGAGGATACTATTCCTGACTTCTTTGGAAGCTATAGATTATAATAAGATATAATAGAGGTATTCATAAAATGTTATGGGAGCACAGACAAAGGCAAGACTGGGTCTTTCTGGAGGAGTTGGGAGAACTTCATCACATTTGAACTAGACCTTGATTTGAGTAGAAGTTCAGATAGGGTGGTTTTTATTCAACTTTGTATCACCCATGAATAATGTTGAGGTACAACAGAGCATGACCTTTGAAGTCAGACCTGGTTTTCAATTCTCACTTTGCCATTTAATTGAGCAAACTGAGCAGTCCTTGAGCATATCACTTAACAGCTTTGAGCCTTTTTTATAAAATGGTGACACCACCACCAGCTTCATAAAACTGTTATGAAGGTTAAGTTAGAAAGAGTATATTATAAAGCATTTAAAGCCGTTCGCGGCACAGTTCATTAAATCCAGCCTGCTACTATCGATTGTAAGATGCACTATTATTTTATATACTACTAAGAAAAAACTAGTTAACCATGACACACCATTGAGTGTAAGATGCATCCCATTCAGAGGTATTAAAATGGGGGGGGTGGAGTCTTACAATCAGGGAGATACAGTAATAAAAAGCATTTCAGTTACTCCTATGTTAATGTTTACTACAGAACTGTAGACTGGTAGGATAACATTTCCTTCTCTAGGGCAACAATATCATGGCCCTAAGCCCCTTACAATGCTGGAGGCAATTTCAATGATATCTTTACTTTACTACTATCTTTACTACATGCTACCAGGTGTGTATCATGTCTCTAAGCTTTCAGTTGTACTAATTTTTGGTACATAGAAAGGTCACAGTAAATGTTAACTATTATTATTATTATTGGTTCTTATTAAACCACCTAGCACATAATCCTTGGATGAATTTTTTTCTCATTCCATTCATTTTCCCTGTGACCTTGCTTTCTTCAGTACCCTCAGTTACCATCTATCTATTGATGATTGATAAAATAATATCTATAGCCTAGTTTCTTTTCTGATTTTCAGACCTAGTATCTAACTATCAACTGGGCATTTCCATCTGGATATCCAAACGGAACCTAGCCAATTGTCTTACCCAAACTCCAATTATGTATTCCTCCCTTATTCTCTTGATAAGTAGCACCATCACCTACCTAGTTTTTCAAGCCAGAAATACAGAAAGTATCCTTAATAACTCCCTCTTCTTTATCCTACATGTCTAATCACCAAGTTTGATAAAGTCTTCCTCCTTCATATCTCTTTTTCCATGTCTTTCAATCTTCTTTACTACACTTTATTTTAAGCCATCATTGCCTCCCTCTGTAATACAGCCTTCTAACTCTTTAGTCTCCAGTTATACACCCAACTCTGTCCCCCTCCAGGCCATTCTTTTCATGTAGCCAATAGTGATCTTTCTCAAATACAGAGATGATTAGATATCAAGAATTTGGAAGAGGAAGGACTTGAAGGCAGTGGATGTACTTGAGGAGATGCACAAATCTCCTGATACCGTACACTACAAAGAACTTCACATGTGCATTTTTTAAGTCAAAGAATTATAATTTTCATCAAATTCTCTTAAGAAGTTTATAAACCAGTAAATGTTAAGAATTATTTATGTTGAACATTTGAGGGACTGATAAAAAGTATTATTGGTGTTGTAGCCAGTTAGTCCTCAAAAATTTTCTACTACAGTACTCCTTAGGAGCAGAAGGGAGAGAATAAGAGCCTAAGATCTGGAGATAGAGCCTGAACTTTGGAACTTAATATTTATCCTAACGTTCTATGTGAATTTCACATTAAGGACCTCATATTAATGCTTCCATATCAAAAGATATTCAACCTCATTAGTGGCAAGGGAAACTGCAACTTAGGGCGACTACATTCAGTTTGCAAAAAGTTGGGCCATCAAATTGGAAAGGAAAAATTAAAAATTAATCTTTGTTTGCAGATGACATGATCTTATATGTAGACAACCCTAAAGAGTCCAACACACACAGAAAAACAACTATTATAACCAATAAACAAATTCAGCAGAGTTGCAGAATACAAAATCAACATGCAAAAATCAGTTATGTTTCTGTAACAATGAACAATTACAAAAAGGAAATTAAGAAAACTATTCCATTTACAACAGCTTCAAAAACAAAATGCTTAGGAATAAACTTATTTAAGGAGGTGAAAGATTTTTGTGCAACAAAATGTAAAGGAAAGCTGAATGCCATTGGATTTGGTAATGATCGATTAGATATGACACTGAAGCATGGGCAACAACAACAAAAATAGATAAATTGGACCTCATCAGAATTAAAGGTTTGGGCATGAAAGGACACAATATACAGAGTGGAAAGACAACTAATGAAATCAGAGAAAATATTTGCAAATCGTATATCTGACAGGGGATTAAAATCCTGAATATATAAAGAACTTTTACAACTCAACAACACCAACCTAAAAAAACTCAATTCAAAAATGGGCAAAGGACTTGAATAGACATTTCTCCAAAGAAGATAAACAAATGGCCAATAAGCACATGAATGGGTGCTCAATATCACCAATCATCAGGGAAATGCAAATCAAAACTACATGACACCACTTCACACCCAGTAGAATGGCAATTATCAGAAGGAAAAAAAATGCCCAAAACCAGAAAATAACATGGTGGCAGAAGTGTGGAGAAATCTTGGAACCCTTGTGCATTGCTGGGGGGAATATAAAATGTTGCAACCACTGTGGAACATAGTATGGTGGATTTCAAAAAATTAAACATAGAATTACCATATGATCCAGCAATTTCACTTCTGGGTATAGATCCAAAAGAATTGGAAGTGGGGACTTGAACAGATATCTGTATGTTCTAACAGCATTATTCACATTAGTGAAAAGGTGGTAGCAACACAAGGGTCCATAGATGGAAGAGTGGATAACCAAAATGTGTATATGTATATATGTATAACATGTATATAATATATATAATTTAGCCTTAAAAAGAAGGAAATCCTAACACATACTACAACATGGATGAGCCTTGAAAACATTATGCTAAGTGAAATAATCCAGTCACAAGAGGATAAATACTATGTAATTAATTCCACTATATGAGGTACTTAGAGTAGTCAAATCCATAGAAACAGAAAGCATAACGGTGGATGCTAGGGACTGGGTAAAGGAGAGAATGGAGAGTTATTGCTTAATGGATACAGCGTTTCAGTTTGGGAAGTTCTCGAATTGGATGTGGTGGGTGATTGTTGCACAATATGAATGTACTTAATCCCACTGAACTGTACCCTCAGACGTTGTTAAAATGATAGGCTTGATATTGTGCATATGTTACCATAATTTAAAAAAAATTTAAGTTAGACCATATCTAGAAGATACAGATCAGCAGCACCCCTTCGAAAGTTTGTCATTACCCTGTAAAGATGAACATTTGCATACCTATGGACCTACTGTTTTGCTCCTAGATATATACTCAAAAGAAATTTGAACAAGTACCAAGACATATACATGATTGTTCATATAAGCATTCTCCTTAATACCAAAACCTGAACACAACCCAAATGCATCTGCAGGTAGAACAATAGTAAATTAAATTAGGATATATTTATATAGCACTCCAAATGAATTTGCCACAGCTATAGCCATAATATGGATTAATCCTAGCAATATAATATTGAGTAAAAAGAATCTAAAGCATGCGGTAGACTTTTTATAAAGTTAATAACTTCTAAGCACCCCTAACATTAGTTAGTAATATAATTATCTGTGATATTAAAA